TGTTCTTCACAATGTACTTTAAAAGCTTGAGATCTCACCAAGATTAGCTTAATCAAGAATTCATATTGACTAAACCACATTCTATTAGACCACACATAGATCAGTCAATTAGCAGTAGCTATACTCAGAAAACCTAACTTAACTTGACCATAAATCATTTATAGCTTTTAGCATCCAAAGTTTCACCTAATTATAAGATCCAAGCTCATGTTCTTCACAATGCAACAACATATAAAAACTCGAGATCTCACCAAGATTAGCCAACCGTTGCTTTCTTCCAGTTCCAGGAGGTCGACCTCTGGCTCGTTTAGGCGCATTTGGATCAGACAATGAAGAAGAGTCCTTAGGCTTATTACTAGCAGAAGTAGTAGGCATAGGAGAAAGCCCTAAAGAGACTTGACCATCAGGTGCATACTTCCTCGGCCTTCCACGTTTCTTCTTAACCATCGGTGGCTCCATCGGAGGAGGAGGCGGTTGCAGAGGCTGCGGCTGCACCGCCGAAGCAGAGGAAGCCATCCCCATGTGAATGCTGTGTCCGAAATCAGAGTGTCTGTGTTCAGACATGGAGAATGGTGGTCCTGGATTGTTAGCCTGAGGATGATGAATGTTAGGGTTCGACATTGGCCTCATCCCCGGAGGAGGCGGCGGCGCGTGAAGCCCACTCGCGACCTGAGAAGGTGTGAGATTTGTGAAGGCTCCTCTTTGTAGATAGTACTGATGTGAATGAGAGCCTGGAAATGCCATTGCTTCTCTCCCATCCATGCATTTAAAACCCTAAAATCACAATTTCTTTCGAAAGAGAATAGATTTCAAAAAAGGGTTTGTGAAAAAAATCGATACTTTATGAAGAACAATCGTAAACCCTAATTCCCCAAATTACAAGAGAGAACAACAATGGCGGTTTTACAGAAGGGTTTTTTTTCTTTCAGCTCAAGATCCAAATTTGTTTTTGTAAACCCTAGAAAAAGTAGAAAGCTAAAATCTTGAGCTCTCACTAAGAACTTGTAATAAAAAAAGGTGAAATTGAAGATTTGAAACTAGGACAAGGCTAAAGAAATTAAGACAAGAGACGAAAGTAGCACTGTCCTAGTGTTTACAGTCT